AACCTAATCTAGGGAAGGCAACCCCAAGGGCGTTTTGGTGATGCTCAACACATTACTGCTGAATTACCAAGTGGCTAATGCCTTAAAAAAATGCTTTTTTTTGGAAGGACCACCAAGCCATAACTCGATAAAGTGTTTTTTTTTTTTTTTTGGAAGGGCCGCTAAGCCATAATTCCTTCAGGAAACAAAACGAACGTCACAATCGCCACAAGGCTGACAATTCATAGATGCAGTATTTGACAAAAAAAATCAAGAAATTAACCAGGAAAATGGTATGCAAGGATGTTGGCTAAACAACCGATGAATCATCGGTCAATCAGTAGCCGTTTCTAATAAAAAATATGAAAGAAAAAATAGGCCAAATTAAAAATTATAGCTCAAAAAGCGTAAAATTCGTTTAAAAGGCGGATCAATAGGCTTAAAAAGGGTCAGTATTTTAAAAAATTTGCAAATTTTGATTTTTGAAAAGAAAATGATCAGTTCCTTATACAAATTACAGTTCCTAATAAAAATTTCGGATAGTAAGATTCCACAAAACTGAGGCGTAATTCCTCCGTTTGCTTCTTAGTTACTTGGCTAGGAAAAAACGATCTGGAAGCTCTCAAAACTCATATTTGCCTGTAAATTTCTCGCTGCTGAATCAAAAAAATTTCAGTAAAAATAAAAAGAGGTAAAAAAAAATGATACTTTTGTGCTTGTGGGTACAGATGTGGTTGCATAATCCGATGGTGCTGCATCTTTTGGAGTAGCCGGTGGTGGCGGTGGTTTGGGTGTCAATTGACCATCCGTGCCGCTGCTGTCTTTTATTTCTGGACTAATTTTCAACCTGAAAATCAAGTAATATAGTGAACAGGCATTTAAATCCCTACATTTAAGCCCCTCGCCATTAATTTCATAAATAAAGAAGCCTAATGACGGGTTTTTGTGGACCAGCTTTACCTAAGCATCAGTTTCATAAAAATGGAAGTCCCAGGAGCCCATTTCCTCATCCTTTCTGTTCTTCACCGCTCTCCTGTCCCTCTCAAATGTACGTTACTTAGTCAATCGGCAAAAGAGGTCTATAACACCTACTTGTTTGTTTTATCGACGATTGTATCGGTGGTACTCTGTGACGTATCCATTATCGTCGTCGGCCTGGTGCCGTTCAGTGCTGCAGACGCTTCCCGCGGTAACACCGAGATTCAGCGTCTTTCCCCTGAAACACGTACGTGAATTGAACAGAGGAAGGGGAAATGGTACCATCCAGGA